GCTGCTGGTGTTGTTGCTGTTGTTGTCGTTATTGTTGTTGATGTTGTTTGCTGCTCTTTTATTGTAGATAGGTTGCACCCGGTCTAGAAATGGTTGCCACAGCAGCTGCAGCGACAGCAGCAGCAGCAGCAGCAGAAGCGGCGCACCCCTCTAATTGCTGCTGGAGACACTAGTAGCTATCTTCTCATCAATAACCACTGCCAAATCGTCGGAAAGAAGCCCCCCTGCGTTTACCTTCTCAGGGTGACAGAGCCATGCCCCGATCTCAGCTGCAGGCGGCAGTCCCACTCAATCGCCGGCACCCCACGACCTGATATCATGGCACTCTTTGTGGAGTGGTTTGGTTTGAGGCTTTGGGGTGTAAGGGATTGCGGGGTTAGGGCATTCGGAATTTACCTTGGCCGTCCGCATCTCTAATGTCAGCGAAGACACTGGTTTCAACAAATCATGCCCCCTCTTAGTATCCTGGGTAGTCACAGACAAATACAATAGTGTCTGAAGCAAAAAAAACTCTTCGTCACGATGCCTGACAAGTACCACTGTTACTTTTTGCAGCTTTTGATGTTGCTAGCTGCTCCATCGTGGCTTCTGCTTCGTGCCGGCATCATTGCGACAAGAGGTATGGTTACTCCTACATACGAAACAGCGTGGTGACCCTATGGGGTTCTTACGGTAGGCCGTCGCCCGTGGCCCAGTGCGCAATTCGGATCGCTCCAGCCCCGTCCGCCCGGGACAGCGACCTCATCCCAAAATCCAATCCTGGGGTTTATGTTTTGAGTCTCCACGGTTTAGAGTATCAGTTCTATCCCAAAACTAACGGTGAGCCCCAGCACCAAGCCCGAAAAGACCTGCTACCCCAACTTCAGCAACCCGGACCCTGAGAACCCTAACCTTAAACCGAGCAATATGGGGGTTTCCGAAAATAGGGGACCCTAATATAGTACCCTAAATAATAGGGACCCCAAACTAAGGTACCCCCTATTTTTGGAAAGTCTCATATGGGAAAAGTCCTACATCTGTGCATCTGGCTCGCGACGACACCTCCCCCGCGCAGGCCACCTGCTCGCAAGTCTGGGATTTAGGGGCTTAGTCGACTAGAATTGTGTTTCGGCGCGTCAAACTACTAATTATTCAGGCGCCTGTATCAGGGTTTGCATAACTGGCTGGAACCCTAGAAACTTAAAGATGTGTTGTTGTCTGGGTCAGTTCATTCTTCTTCTTGATATGCGTATTTTCACCGTTATTTTGTGGTTATTTCCTTATGATGATTATTCTTATTGTTCTCATTGTTGATATTCTTCTTAGGGTTTTCATTAGTGATATAATGTGTATACTTGTTTTGCACTAGCACCTGTTATTCTTCTAAATCTTCTTGCTATTCGTCATTGCTAGTTTATTACGATGACTTTCACAATGCTTCAGCCCTAAACAGCAAAAGGTGAAATCTGCGCTGTGATCATGGAGGACCCTCTAGAAACGCGTCTGCTTCCCACAGCCTCCAAGTGTGAAGGGTCTCTTCTGAAACTGTCCCCGTGGGTGACCTTCCGGAAAGCTTTGAGAAAACTATGATGCCCCAAAGCCCATGGCCTCCAGCTGAGCAATGCGCTGGCGTGCCTGCAGGCAGGGTACTCTTTGCTCCCTAGGCTTGAGGGTGAAAAGTGGAGCTGCTTTGTTTTGAAGGCTCTTCTCCTCACTCTTACAGTCACACCAAGAAGAAAAGAGTGAGGTTGTAGGGTGTTAGTTCGCTTCTGTTCTTTAGAGTTGACGTGTTTAGGATGTTTTCAATGTCGCCTGCTGAGCACCGAAGGCGGACGGCAGGGCAGGGAAGAACCAAGTACTCATCACAGTGACAATACTAAAAATAACAGTGTAATAGTCGTACTAATAATAGCAAGAAGGATATAGTAATCATTAGTAAAACCACAGTCGGCTTAATGAGTCATCGTCATCATCATCATCATCATCATCTGGGGCTTACGGCTCAAGGGATCTTAGGAGGGGTCCCGAAATGCATGTGACCAGGATATCGTGCCGGTGGAGAAATTGGGCGCTTGCCATGATCAATGGCATGGACAGTCTGGTGTTGTTAGCCATGCTATCTGCATCAGTGTGTTGCGGCTGCTACTTGTCCGCTGTCTGCGTGCCATCCAGGTTTCCTGAACAAAGACCTCGCCTCGAGTATGAGGGTGCACTTTGGGGAAGATCTTCAAAACCAACCCAAGAAATTCTTTTCGCAACGCCACAGGCAACTCACATTGACACGTCTCTAGCCACGATCAGGTACCCCATCGCTGAGCCTCGGTCTCAAGATCCTAATCGACATGAAGCTGCTCTACGCAACGATAGCCAACAGAGATGCTACTCTTGCTCCTGCAGCTGGTCGGCACTTTACGTGGTCTTCTGCCGACACACTGCCGCCCTTTCTGAGATGCTGTGCGCGACGACGCGGACGGAACACGAAGAGCAGTAGTGAGAACAACAGCAACATGGCATCAGTAAGAATCACTAGTGGTGGCTGTACTCGTAACAACAGCAGTGACTTGTAATCGACTGAAAATATAAAACAGCACCACGCTTACTCATCCAAATCTCAAGTCCGAGGCATTTCATCACGGTGGGATATGCTCTGCGAGCCTCTCTGGGCCCTGATTGGCTGGAACATCCACTTTGTCGAAAGTCGAGTCAAGCCCAACCGGGCAAGGTTGGGCTACTGTAGGGGCCTTAATAATCAAAACAGGGCTGTGGGGTACACGAGAGCCACAAGAAAGTGACTACGCCGACCCCTATACTTTCTTAGGGCAGCGCCATACGGGGTTGCAAATCGCTGAAGGCGGCATGCTCTGATGCTGCAAACGTCCGTGACTACTATACTACCACCGATACAACCACTACTAGCACGACCACCACCACGACCAGGTCACTACTGCGACTCACTTCTGCTGAGCTCTTCTTCAAAGGGGGGCGAAGAGTACCACTACAGCAAACTAAACCCTAAACCCTACACACCAACAACATCGCAGCCCCACGGCTCGCTTCCCCCGACAAGTTGGAGACACTGAAACACTTGGAAGGGTTTAAACATCTTTTGTGGTGGCTCGCAGGCACGCCTCAGAGGCCACTGCAGGCCCGGAGGAGGGTACGAGCAAACTGGCTCTGAATGCCCAACCATATACTCTAGATATGAAGCTCGTCCCTATTACCACTGAGTGCCATGGTCCCACAAGTTTGATGTAAATGTTCAACACACGCTTCATCGGCCACGAGATCGTATGCCCGAATCATCCGCCCGACAACACTAGGCCTTGACCTAATGCCCCCGTCCCGATCTATTAAGCTGAAGTCTAACGCAAGAAACTATTCATTCACCCCGCTGTGGATACTAGGGGCGCGAAAACCCCCTGGAACCAGAAAAACGTCACAACAAAAAGAGTGAACCCCCAGCAACACCCTTAGACGCCTGAGACCCCCCCAAACCCGAAACATCCCCAAAACAATTCCCAAAAATCCAAACAATCCCCCAAACCCCTAAAGCAGCGAACAGCCCTAAACTCCAAACACACGAACTGCAAGACCCCCATGCAAATACAGGCAACCCCTAGCTCACCCATGACTCCGGACCAGTGCCACGATGACTGTCGGCCTCGACACGGAATCCTGCTATGATCCATCCAACTTCAATATCGACCCAGGGAGCCCGGCACTCCTGAAAATATAAGGGCCTTCTGACGAACAGTCTTTTATGGGGTTCTTTATCAAGAGGCCTTGGTGACTGGAGTAGGGCTCTCAGCAGGCGAGCGGGGGGGTGGGGGGTACGTTATACTATACGTTCATGATATAGGGACGACACGGGAACACTATGACTACAAACCCCTATCTTATGGGGATTCAGGTTTGCGATGGCAACAGGGGCGCTTTTTGCCTCTTACTTCGCTAGGATGCGCCTGCTTAGAGCTACAGCAAGAGTCACATGTAGTAGTCTGACCATACATGGGATTGTCACTATGATAAGTCCTATCTAGGGTACTTTTTAACAAAACCTAATCCAAATTCTGAGCCGAATTGCCAAGGCTTTACAAAGATTTGTCATTAGGGCTCTTGGTCTCGATTGGCGCACTGGCTCAAGGCAAGGGTTGCAGGGTAGTGTCCAGGGATCCTCACCATGGAACTGCAGTCATGCGTGTCTGAAGTCAGGATTCATCGGGCTAGGATCTATGTAGGCCTTCGTGCTTGAGGACATAAGTCTTACCATCTTTGATGATGAAGGCTATTTCTTACTGCGGTTAGAGGCAAAGACTTGTCTATGAACATACATACACGTGTGCGCAGCAAGTGAGGGGTCATGGGCTCTCTGGTGAGCATCTGCCACTTCATAACGGCCAAGCCGAGTTTGCGCACCGGGGACGTAACTTGAAAGGTCAAGTTCTTCCCTTCCAAGACGGATGCGTACGATTGCCACTCGAGTTTGATTGCGGCTGAAGGTCTCGATGGTTTAGACATCAGAATTTTGAAACTGTGGCAGGCTGCAAAAATTGTGGCGTGAATGGCAGCATTGCGGCTCTAGGGAAGAAAATCTCGTTCTAGGATGCTGACCGATGAACAATAAACGTAGGGGCACACAATGCTGCCGCAAATCTGCAGCGTATGCTTCCTTGTCGGTTTGGCTGGCCCTGGGGCAAATCCGCTGTTGCAGACTGTGCCACAGTGGCGCATCGGGTCTCGCTGCCTGAGCCTCTGCCGAACTTCCCCCCGCCACGTTCGTGGTCTGCTAGAGGTTTTGGCGGTTGTTCCACATGACGCGCCCCTTGCGACAAATTCTCATCCCTGCAAGCCCCAAAAGCACCTGTTCTAAAGGAACCAGCTCAGATCCTTGATTGCCAACAACCGCCAGATGAACAGGCTTTCATACTTCGATCCTGCCAAGCATGTGTTGGACATGCGATGGCCTACAGGGCCTACAGGCCTCCTCCTTTCCTCCTTCAGCATCCTATGGGTACTTCCGATGGCAGGCCAGACCTCAAAGGCGAACAACATAATTCACACAAACCCGTATGTTGCAGCCAGGCGGTTCAGGCTGGTCTTCGAGACTCACTTGTCGCGCTCTGCAATTCCTTTACTTCTGCAATAGCGAACCCGAGGACATAAGAAGTTGAACATGAACTTGCCGACAAACACTCCTTACAAGAAAGCAAAAAACATGTAAGCTTCTTGGTGGGGCAAGAGGCTGGTCATCGTGCAGGCGGCTCATGTCGCTCGATGTGTCTGGCTGCGGGTCTAGATCCCCATCCTCGGCTGTATTGTCAACTCATTCCTACCGAGTATCTGTGGACCTGAGCTGTAGGGTCCTTATTTCAAAATATCGTGGTAGGGCGGTCTCTGCAGTATCAGAAGGCCAAGATGCCAACATCTCCCGCAAGGTCTTGATGGACTTCTTGAAGGCTTCAGGATCGCGCTCAACCCAGCGCCGGAATTCTTCGAGGTCATCGATCTGACGGAACATGTGCTCGGTCTCTTTTAATCTGGCTGCCCGCTGCATCGACCAGAGCGCTTTGTCTGACATGCGAGGCCAGGCCGTCGGGGAGAAGTCGGAAGTCGGAGGATTGAGCCAAAAGGCTTGGCAAGTCGATTTTCGAGTATCCAACGACGAGGAGGAGGACGACGACGACGGTCAGTGAAGCTGCCGCTACTGCTGCTACTCCTCTTCGTCTTCCTCTCCCACTCCTCCTCCTCCTCCTACTACTACTACTACTACTACGACTCCTACTACTACTACTACTACTACTACTACTACTACTACTACTACGATAACTACTACTGCTACTACCTACTACTACTACTACTACTACTACTACGACTACGACTACTACTACTACTACTACTACTACTACTACTACCGCTACCGCTACCGCTACCTACTCCTACTCCTACTCCTACTCCTACTCCTACTCCTACTCCTCACCTACTCCTACTCCTACTCCTACT